AACTGTTAACGTTACCGTACCGTTACGTTCCTACTACTCGGTCTTCGTGTATCTTCGTACTTATCTTAGTCTACACACACACACACACCACACACACACACACACACACACACACACACACACACACACACACACACACACACACACACACACACACACACACACACAAACACACATACACACACACACACACACCGGCGACACAGCAGCAATGAATGTCACACACCTCTACATGACGATGAACAACGCGACGGCTGGCTGTGACCAGTGTGACGTCATCGTAGCGGGACATGACGACACCCTCTACCCGCCCGCCATCCTCGTCATCGGCAAGATCGTCACGATATTCGGCATTCTATTCGGCGGCACAGCGAATCCGCTCATCCTCGTCACCATAGCAACAAACCGAAGTCCGCACGGGCGCTTTAACCCGCTCATCACGAATCTGTGCGTGCTGGACACGGTCTACTGCTGCTGCCTCGCACCGACGCTCTGCGTGCAGTTCTTTTACGGCCGACTCGCCGTGGACACGAAGTTGTGCAAGGTTCTACCGTTCTTTACCTACTGGATGCTCAACTCTACCGTCATCACGCACACCAGCATCGCCATCAACAGGTACGTGCGCATCGCACGACCGGCGAGCTACAGTCGACTCTACGGCCGCCGACAGATGGCGCTGAATATCGTCGCCTGCTGGGCGATACCGTTCGTGCCGCTGCTGCTTCCGCTCTTCAACATCCTGAACTGCTACGGGTTTGATCCCGTACTGCGCATGTGCACGCTCGTCTGCCATGAGCGTCTGCTGTCAAAGGTCGTGCTGCTCTACCTGCCGGTCGTCGTCTCGCTCGCCGCCTACGTCAGAATCATCGTCATCGTGCGGCGCTCGCGCAAGAAAGTCAAACCAGGGGGCGTTGGATCGCCCTCTGGCATCACCGTCAGTCACATCTCGGGCGCGCTGCCGACTGCAAAGTCGATTACGGTACGAACGTTAGCGCCACCGCCGACCCCGATGCTAGCGCCACCACAGCCGCCGACATCGACGCCGACGCCGACACGCACGCCATCACCGACGCTAGCGCCACCGCAGTCGCCGACGCTACGACTACCAACGATGCTGACGCTAGCGCCACCGCAGTCGCCGACGCTAGCGCCACCGCAGTCGTCGACGATAACGCCACCACAGTCGCCGACGCTAGCACCACCGCAGTCACCGACGCTAGAGCATCTGCAGCAGTTGCCGACGCTAGAGCTACAACCGACGCGCCCGCCGTCTCCCTCGCCGACGCTGCCTCCTCCTCCTCCTCCGCCGCCGCCGACACAGAGGCGACCGGAGTCGAAGCTTCTACAGATGACGCTGAGCATCTTCGCCGTGTTCTGCTTCAGCTTCTTTCCGTTCAGCATCTTCAGCCAGGTGGGCACGCGCGCCGTGATGGAAGCGCATGCCGTCACTCGCATGCTCGTCATACTGTCGCCGAGCGTCGACCCACTCATCTACGTGCTCACGAACAGGGCCATGCGACGCGCAGTGCGAAACCGCACGCGCTGCCTGTGGGAGTGGTGAAGGCAGGGTGTTGGTTGCGGGAGGGTGGCGTGTAGCGGGGGGGGGGGTGCCTGCGTGTGGTAGTGGTGAAGGCAGGGTGTTGGTTGGGGGAGGGTAGCGTGTAGCGGGTAGGGGTGCCTGCGTGTGGTAGTGGTGAAGGCAGGGTGCTGGTTGGGGAAGGGTAGCGTGTAGCGGGTAGGGGTGCCTGCGTGTGGTAGTGGTGAAGGCAGGGTGCTGGTTGGGGAAGGGTAGCGTGTAGCGGGTAGGGGTGCCTGCGTGTGGTAGTGGTGAAGGCAGGGTGCTGGTTGGGGAAGGGTAGCGTGTAGCGGGTAGGGGTGCCTGCGTGTGGTAGTGAGTGAAGGCAGGGTGTTGGTTGGGGAGAGTGGGCGTGTGGGGTGCCTGCGTGTGGGAGAGGTGAAGGCAGGGTGTTGGTTGTCGGTAGGGGGGCGTGTGGGGGTGCCCTGCGTGTGGGAGTGGTGAAGGGCAGGGTGGCTGGTGGGGTGGGTGGCGTGTAGCGGGTGGAGGGGGGGGGTGCTTGAGCGTGTGTGTAGTGGTTAAGGCAGGGTGTTGGGTGGGAGAGGGTGGCGGTGTAGGGGTAGGAGTGCTTGTGTATGGTAGTGGTGAATACAGGGTGTTGGTTGGGGAGGGTGGCGTGTGGGGGTGCCTGCGTGTGGGAGAGGTGAAGACAGGGTGTTGGTTGGGGAGGGTGGCGTGTGGGGTGCCTGCGTGTGGAGAGGTAAAGACAGGGTGTTGTTGGGGAGGGTGGCGTGTGGGGTGGCCTGCGTGTGGAGCAGGTGGAAGACAGGGTGTGGTTGGGGAGGTGGCGTGGGGGGGGGTGCCTGCGTGTGGGAGAGGTGAAGACAGGGTGTGGTTGGGGAGGGTGGCGGTGTGGGGGTGCCTGCGTGTGGGAGAGGTGAAGCACACGGTGTTGGTTGGGCGGAGTGCCGTGGGGGGGGGGTGCCTGCGTGTGGGAGAGGTGAAGACAGGGTGTTGGTTGGAGAGGGTGGCGTGTGGGGGTGCCTGCGTGTGAGAGAGGGGAAGGCAGAGTGTTGGTTGGGGAGGGTGGCGTGTGGAGGTGCTGCGTGTGCTAGTGGTGAAGGCAGGGGTGTTGGGTGGGAGAGGGTGGCGTGTGGGGGTGCCTGCGTGTGGAGAGGTAAAGACAGGGTGTTGGTTGGGAGGTGGCGTGTGGGGGTGCCTGCGTGTGGGGAGAGGTGAAGACAGGGTGTTGGTTGGGGAGGTGGCGTGTGGGGTGCCTGCGTGTGGGAGAGGTGAAGACAGGGTGTTGGTGGGAGAAGGGTGGCGTGTGGGGGTGCCTGCGTGTGGGAGAGGTGAAGACAGGTGTTGTTGGGAGGTGGCGTGTGGGGTGCCTGCGTGTGCCAGTGGTGAAGGCAGGGTGTTGGTTGGGGAAGGGTAGCGGTGTAGCGGGTGTAGCGGGGGGGGGCTGCGTGTGGTAGTGGTGAAGGCAGGGTGTTGTGGGAAGGTAGCGTGTATAGCGGTGTAGGCGGGGGGGCTGCGTGTGGTAGTGTGAAGGCAAGGGTGTTGGTGGGCAGGGTAAGCGTGTATAGCGGGTGTAGCGGGGGGGGGCTGGCGTGTTGATAGTGGTGAAGGCAGGCTGTTGGTGGGGAAGGGTAGCGTGTGCTAGTGGTGAAGACAGGGTGTTGGTTGGGGAGTGGCATGTAGCCGTGTGCGTAGTGCGTGTGCGATGAGACGTTTCACATATTTACGGAAAGTGCACAACAACTCCTGTACCTAATTATGTTTAAAGAGAAAGGCAGTCAGCGTTGAAGCTAAATATGGTTCATGTGAAAAAATCTACGTGAGTATATATGCATACATATGTATGCGTGTATGTAATATAATATATATGCTGTAATAGTTGTGTTGTCATTGATGTCTAATGTGTGATATTCATTGCTGTTTTATGTGGCATAAGTGCGGAATCTGTTTACATCGCTTGTTCTGTGCATATCTTTATACGTAGGTCGACCGCAGAATTTTATCGCTAAACAAAAATAAGAGCGCACTATTTAAGAAATGGCTGCTTCTTGTTGTTACTTAAACTTCTTTTATTTTATATATAAACATTATTATTAATAATTAATTAATTATTATTATTTTATTATTACTATAACTGTGCCGTTGCCTGCCTTGCGTGTATCTCTCAGGTAAAGCTCCCTTAAAGAGAAATATATTTCTAACGAATGATCTATAAAGAATACATAATTATATTCTCTCTATATATATCTGTTATCTGTGCTCAGATGTGGACGACGTCCTATAATAAATTACTGTGTTCAATCGAAATATACTTTGCTATATATTGAGTATGAGAATCGTAAACACCACACACGTCCACGCACGCCCACACACACACACACCACACACACACACACACACACACACACACACACACACACACACACACACACGCACACACACACAACACCACACACACAGCACACACAGACCCCCCCTCCCCACACACGCCACACACACCTACATACACACACACACCACACACACACACACACACACACAACACACACGACAACACACACACACCACACACATCACCGCATGTATAGTAGTCCGTATAGTATATAGTGAGCAACATATAGTATTCTATATAGCTTAGTAGTCAGTAGTAGTCGTAGTAGTAGTAGTAGGCCTAGTAGCAGCGCAAATAGCATATAATGTATATGTATATATATGTATATGATATATATAGTATTAATACTAT